GCAACCTCCGCCTCCCGGGTTCAGGCGATTCTCCTGCCCCAGCCTCCTGAGTCGCTGGGATTACAGGCACGTGCCACCATGCCCAGCTAATTTTTCGTATTTTTAGTAGAGACGGGGTTTCACCATGTTGACCAGGATGGTCTCAATCTCTTGACCTCATGATCCACCCGCCTCGGCCTCCCAAAGTGCTGGGATTACAGGCTTGAACCACTGCGCCCGACCAATTTTTGACATTTTCAAAGTTCTTTTTTGTTTCCTGAATGTTCATTTTTATAGCATTCTTTTTTTTGTTTCATTACACAGAAACTCTTATCTTTCTAAGGCTATTAGTAATTGTCAAGTGTTTTTCACTCTGCCTGTTTCCTCCCTGTTATTTTGTTTCTGTTAGTCCCTTTGGCCTCTACCTTTCACATTAAAGGCTTTCCTTACATGTCTGGCGATCATCTCATCACTGCATCATGTGGCTTACTGAGCTTGGGTTTCACTGAAGAATGATCTGGCTAGACTGCTTATTCAGGGTAGCCATGAAGCCAGAATCTTCATATCTTTTCTCTTGTGCCAGTTATGTTCCCCAGAAATGGTTTTTCATCCTCCTGCCCGGTGAGTATTGGCCTGGCTATCAGCATTCTTTTTTTTTTTTTTTTTTTTTTTTTTTTTTTACCTATTTTTTTTTTTTTTTTTTTTACCTGACAGCAATAATTTTAAGTAAGATCGTTCTAAAGGAAAAAAAAGAATGATATTCTCAACTTTCAATGAGAAATGTTCACTTAATCCTGGTTTTCATATATTGTTTCTGCCTGATAACCCTCCTCAGACGGTGTCTCCAGTCTTCTGCTATGTGCATTTTGGGAGCTTCCTAGCTTCTTAGGGCATGGCTATCTGAGGGATCTACCAGCTGTAAATGGATCCTTCCTTTGAAGCCCCACTTTCTCCTTTTCTAGAATATATGGGGTCCCTACTTCCTGAGTCTTTTAAGGATTCTATAGTACAAATCAGGTGGCTGCTTGGCTTTCCTCTTGGCTGACCTAGGACTTAGTTTCAGGGCTTTGCTAAGTCGGTTGTCACTACTTGTCTGTTTTCCAATTTCCTAGATTTTGTGACTATTCTCTCCCTTTCCTGTGGGATTTTGGAAAAGAGCAGAGTGTATTGTATGTGTGCAGTTGGCCAGCTTTAAGTGAATGTCCCAAATGTATCTTTCCATTTCACCACCCCAAAAGGGGATTCTGTTCTCATTCTCTCCCCTCGCTTCCTCCCTCTCGCCTTCTGTCTCATTCGCATTAGGCTTTCCCCATGCCCCTTCTCTTCAGGTAACCATTCTGGAGTTCTGAGATCAGGTTCACCAGAACCACCATTTACAGGCTGGCTGTGTTCAGTCAGCTCACCTACCATACCATGCTTACCACAGGCAGATTTGTTATGTTTTGTTTCTCGGAGACAAGGTCTCACTTTGTTGCCTAGGCTGGCCTCAAACTCCCTGGGCTCAAGTGATCCTCTCACCTTGGCCGCAGTTGGGTTTTGAAGACTGACAGAGAAATAAGTACCATTCGAAGATGTGTTTTTCTGATTTTTTCAGGCAGCGCTGTTCATAAGATGATTGTGGACAGGCAATATATGGGTGTGTCTAAGCGGAAGTGCATCGTGTGGGGTGTTGCCTTCTTATCAGATGGCACTGTCATAAGTGTGGACTCTGCTGGGAAGGTGCAGTTCTGGGACTCAGCCACTGGGACGCTAGTGAAGAGCCATCTCATCGCTAATGCTGACGTGCAGTCCATTGCCGTAGCCAACGTGAGTACAGTCCCTGTTTTGAGCGGTTGATGTACAACCTGAGGTTTGAATAGAGAAAACAGCCACAGTGATGTGCCATGAACACTGGTTCCTGATCTTGATGTTGTACTGGAGGAAGGTAAGTTTAGGAAAATGCATCTGAAAACCCACATTGTTTCCATAGTATCTAACATTTGATTAGAGAGTACAGGATTCTCCCAGAGATTAGTTACCAGGGAGATTTTCATCAGACACTCCTCACCTCCAGTTCATCCAGTCTGATTGTAGATAGGGCGCAGCAGCTTAGAAGAATCTTGAGAAGTACTGTTTCCCTCTCTGTCCAGCTACTCTCCTGCTTCCTGTTTTGGAACATTAGAAGATAACTTTTTAGTGATTTTGAAAATGTTTATTTTCTTCTGTTTTATTAATCCTCAAGTAGATTTGTGTTGAACAGATATGCCTCTTTCCCTTTCGTAACATGAATTCTTCTCTTATAGAACCTTTTTATATATTTATTTTTAATTTACTTTTTTAGGAAAATAGAGATGAGGGTCTCCCTATGTTGCCCAAGGTGGTCTTGAATTCCTGGGCTGGGGGTACTCCCATCTCAGCCTCTGATTATAGGCAGGAATCACCACACCTGGCCAAAACTTCTTATTTAGTTTTTTTTTTGTTTTTTTTTTGAGATGGAGTGTTGCACTGTCGCCCAGGCTGTAGTGCAGTGGCGTGATCTCGGCTCACGGCAGTCTCCGCCTCCTGGGTTCAAGCAATTCTCCTGCCTCAGCCTCCGGAGTAGCTGGGACTATAGGTGTGTGCCAGCACGCCCAGTTAAATTTTTTTTCATGTAATTTTAGTAGAGATGGGGTTTTACCTTGTTGACCAGGATGGTCTCGATCTCCTGACCTCGTGATCTGCCTGTCTCAGCCTCCCAAAGTGCTGGGATTACAGGCATGAGCGACCACACCTGGCCCTGACTTAGTATTATTATTGCTATTTATTTATTTAGAGACAGAATTTTGCTCTTGTCACCCAGGCTGGAGTGCAGTGGTGCGATCTAGGCTCACTGCAACCTCTGCCTCCCGGGTTCAAGTGATTCTCCTGCCTCAGCCTTTCCAGTAGCTGGGATTACAGGCACCCACCATCATACCTGGCTATTTTTTGTATTTTTAGTAGAGACTTGGTTTCACCATGTTGGCCAGGCTATTCTGGAACTCCTGACCTCATGTGATCCACTGCCTCTGCCTCCCAAACTGCTGCTGGGATTATAGGCATGAGCCACCTTGCCTGGCCTATTTTCTTTGAGACAGAGTCTTGCTCTGTCAGCCAGGCTGGAGTGCAGTGGCATGATCTCAGCTCACTGAAACTTCTGCCTCCTGGGTTCAAGCAATTCTGCTGCCTCAGCTTCCATAGTAGGTGGGATTACAGGCACCCGCCACCACACCTGTTTAATTTTTATATTTTTTTGTAGAAATGGGGTTTCACCGTGATGACCAGGCTGGTCTCCCTCCTGACCTCAAGTGATCCACCCAACTCAGCCTCCCAAAGTGCTGAGATTACAGGTGTGAGCCATCACACTCAGCCTATTATTTTCTATGACGTAAATATTGTACAAGACTGGTAACATGCATTCTCGTTTAGAAACCTTTGAGTATTTTAGCAGTGAGACATGGAAAGTAATTTTATTTGTTGACTAGATTCTTTGTTCTTTACCTCCTTCGTTTGAGAATTACGTGCTATCCTACGTGCTGACATCCATATTCTAGTGTAGTGTTCCTATTCCATTTCACAGCTTTTCTGAGAACAGTTTGATACATGTTAAAGCCCTGAAAAACATTTAATGTCACATATAAATGATAATAGTGGTATAAATTGAAATGAGTGGGATAAATTCCCCTTGATGATTTTTTTTTTTTTTTTTTTTTTAAAAAGGGTTTCTCACCTTTTTTTTTTTTTTTTTTTATAAACAGGGTTTCACCATGTTGGTCAGGCTGATCTTGAACTCCCAACCTCAGGTGATCCACCCACCTTGGCCTCCAAAAAATTCCCCTTTAAAAATAGAGTTTTCATCCCCAACACTTGTAATTATTATACTTAAGAATTAACTATTGGCTGGGTGCAGTGGCTCACAGCACTTTGGGAGACCAAGGAGGGTGATTGCCTGAGCTCCAGAGTTCGAGACCAGCCTGGCCAACATGGGAAAACCCCATCTCTACTAAAAATACAAAAAGCCAGTCATGGTGGTGTGTGCCTGTAGTCCCAGCTACTCAGGAGGCTGAGGCAGGAGAATCACTTAAACCTGGGAGATAGTGGTTGTAGTGAGCCAAGATCACGCCACTGCGCTACAGCCTTGGAAACAGAGTGAGACTTCATGTCAAAAAAAAAAGAGTTAATTATTAAATTTAGTACCACTTAAAGTGTAATTACTCAGGCCAAGCATGGTGGCTCACACCTGTAATCCCAGCACTTTGGGGAGACTAAGGCGGGCAGATCACAAGGTCAAGAGATTGAGACCATCCTGGCCAACATGGTGAAACCCTGTCTCTACTAAAAATACAAAAATTATCTGGGTGTGGTGATGCGCACCTGTAGTCCCAGCTATTGGGGATGCTGAAGCAGGAGAATTACTTGAACCCGGGAGGCGGAGGTTGCAGTTAGCTGAGATCACACCACTGCACTCCAGCCTGGCAACAGAGGGAGACTCCCTCTCAAAAAGAAAAAAATGTAATTAAATATTATGGAGCTATTTTAAAGGACAAGGAAGGTGTATATTTACTGCTGTGGAACAATTTCTGGGATATATTGTTAAGAGGAAAAAGTAGAACAGTGTTATAATGCATTAATACAGTACATAATAATATTTAAGAAAAGGAGGAGCCAGGTGGGATGGCTGACGCCTGTAATCTCAGCACTTTGGGAAGCCGAGGCGGGTGGATCACTTGAGGCCAGGAGTTAAGAGACCAGACTGGCCAACATGGTGAAACCCTGTCTCTACCAAAAATACAAAAATTAGTCAGGTACGAATGGTATGCACTTGTAGTCCCAGCTACTTGGGAGGCTGAGGCAGGAGAATTGCTTGAACCCAGAGGCAGAAGTTGCAGTGAGCTGAGAGTGATGGAGGAAGAGCAAGACTTCATCTTAAAAAAAAAAGAAGAAAGAAAAGGAGGGGCTGGTGTACACATAGACTATCTTTGGAGGCTTGGTGCAGTGGCTCAACCTGTGATCCCAGTACTTTGGGAGGCCAAGGTGCAGGATCACCTGAGCTCAGGAGTTCAAGACCAGCCTAGACAATATAGCAAGACCTACTAAAATTCAAAAGAATTAGCCAGGCATGATGGCTCATGCCTGTCTTTCTCACTACCTGTGGGGCTGAAATGTGAGGATCACTTGAGGCCAGGAAGTTGAGGCTGCAGTGAGCCCTGATTGTGTCACTGCACTCCAGCCTAGACTGAGGCAGGAGAATCTCCCTGACCCCCTGAATGTCCTCTAGAAGTCATCAAGTCATCACCATCAGTGTTTCTTTCTTTTTTTTTTTTTTTT